TGGGTATGTTCCCTAAAATTCAGGTAGGAAGATATCTAATGACTGAGATGAGAAGGCAGGTTTGAATTTAAAATACAGTTTGAACATTTGTGCTTCAAAAACCTGGAATCCAAAATGCTCCAAAATCCAAAACATTTGGAGAACTAATGTGATACTCAAATACTTTCAGATTTGGGATCATTTCAGATTTTCGGATTAGGGATGATCAGCTGGTGAAGGCTCTGAAGCAACTGTGGTCCCCAGCATCTTGGATAAGGGATACTCGGCCACACCAAGGGCAACAGGACCTGCAGGGACCAGCCTGCCACCAAGGATACTCTCACTCCAAGGATTTTCCTTCAGGGAAGCTGGAGAAGACAGAGTCACAGCCTGCCTTGTCACCTGACCCCCAGCACCTGCTCCCTGTGGTCTGCCTCTCCAGGTGCCAGCATGGACTCTAGTGGAGCCTGCTTGTGTCGGGAGCGCCCCTGCGTCATGTTCTCAGCCCCCCAGTCTGGGTGCCTGAGCGTTTGGTGAAATGAAAGATGAATCATGCTGTTTCAGGGGCGGGGGAAGTGACTTCAGAGCAGGAAGAGGCCTTCCGGATGGGGGCAGAGTCCCCTCCTTGTGGAGGTGCTGGAAGTTGGGTCTGCAGCCCTTCACCTGGGGTTGCCAAGCCAGAGCCATGGCCGAGTTCAGGAGGGAGCTCCGCACCTCCTGGGAGCCTTTCCTGGCTGAGGCTCGGCACCTAGAAGTACTGATCACCCAGCACCCAGGAGTACCGCTCACCTGGCACCTGAAGACATGGGCAGTGCCGATGTGCCTGTGGGGAGGAGCGTCATCCTGGCACCCTGCAAGAGCTGGGCGCTGATGCCCAGTGGTCCTGCTCCCCAGGGAGGTGGCTGAGGAGTGCCGAAGGCCTTGGGGCTGCTGCCATTGCAGGGAATGTCATTGTCCCCAGGGACAGACTCCATTCCCCTCCTTTTGCTTTGGAGGCCCCCTAGTCAGTGAGGTCAGCCTGAGCAAGGCAAGATGGCTAAGCCGGGTGGAGGGTGGACCTAGCAGGGGGCCCACATGTCCTTATGTTTGGGGAGCAGCTGGGAGGGTGGGGCCAGCTGGGGCTGCACAGGGAGGCTGAGCCCTGGGGTGAGGAGGGGTGTGGGCTGGGCTCAGGACAGGGCTATGGTGGGACTCTCTGGATGTGCAGTGTCTAGAGGGGCACTGAGGCTGGCAGCCGGCAGGAGGAAGCTTGTGCAGAAACCCAGCTGAGGAGCACAGGCTGTTCTGTGAATGAGAGGCCACAGTGGAGGTTTGCAGAGGTCTGGAGGCTGGATGTTGAGGGCTGAGCAGGGAAGGGGAGGGATTCTGCATGGAGACCTGGCTGACCCCCCGCTGCTGGGTCCTCCGCAGGTTCTGAGTGCGTTTCCTCGGTTGCCCGCCCGAGAAGGAAAGCCCATGTTACAGAGGACACGGAGGCTCAGGCAGTCCAGTGGGTCTCCAGAGCTGTTCATCTCCTCAGGGCAGGGCAGGCGGGCAGGGGTGGACTGGGCGGGATGACTCCTGAGCCCTGGTGCTGGCACCCTAGGGATTGCTTATGGAGAGCAAGTCAGGGATGAGGTACCTGCTGGCTTTGTCCTCCAGGCCGTCCTCCAGGCCGTCCTCCCCCAGCCCTGTGGCCTAGCCCGCTCGGCCCTCTCCAGTCTACGGCCCTTCTCTGACCGCCCCTTTGGCCAGGCTTCTCCCTACTCCTGCATGTCCACTCTCCTTTTTCTTCTTTGTGGCCTCTGGTCTCTGCTTTGGGACTTTGTGCTTGTGGGTGGGGGGACAGACACCCGTGTTCCCTGGGCACAGCCTGGTGGCTTGTAGACAGTAGGCGTCCCCATGGTGTGTCCACCTTGACCAGAGGTTGGGGCGGCCAGTCAGGATTGAGATGAGGTTTCTGCAAACACTGGAGTGTGATGCTGCTGACCAGGAGGGTCCCTCTGCGCTGAAGCTCAGGTGCAAGGTCAGGCTGCAGTGCTGATTTGGAGCTACAGCCTACGCAGCTGGGGAAGACACCGCATGTGTCCATGCACAGGCCAGTGCATAGAGGAGGGCACTTGGTAGCAAGATCACGTTAGTCTGCACGGTCTGCAGCAGGCAGGTGCCGCACGCCGAAGGCTTGACAACAGAGGTGTGCTGGCTCAGTTCTGGTTCCCTGAGGCTGTGAGGGAGAACCTGTCCCCCCCTCTCTCAGCTTCTGGTGGTTTTCTGGGCTTGGAAATCTCTGCTTTTGTCTTCTTGTGGCATCCATCGTGTGTGTCCCCACATTCCCCGTGTTGTGTTAGACCACCTTATGCCAGTATGACCTCCTAATGTCATATCGAGGCCAGGGAGTCCAGGACTTCAACCTGCGCTTGGAGGGTGATGGTGGCCTGGCAGGATGTCGTGCTGCCCGTGGGTCAGAGTGATCAGCATTGGTCTGAACGGCTGCAGCACTTGGAGGGCCTGGCACGGTTGCCCAGCTCTTAGGGCATTTCTGGAGCACCGAGGACAGGCCATCCTGAGGCCTTGGAAGCTCAGCCCTGGCCACCAGGATCCCTGGCTTTGCTCAGCTTCTCAGCTTCCAGGAAGTCTGCTGTGGGAAGGATGTAGGCAGAGTGTCCCCTGGGGGACCCGGCAACCCCAGGCGAGTTCTAAGGTTCTGCCTTGAGATCGCTTAAATAGCTTCAAGCACAGACGTCTTCCTGTGATCAGAGGGTCCACGGTTTAACAGACCCGACCTGCTAGACTGCCTCAGGCAGGCTCACCATGGCTGTGCCCATACTCTGGTGCCCACAGTTAGAACTCAGAGTTGTAGGGAAGGTGTGTAAACTCTGGCACTGACCCTGTTTGCCTCCCCTGACCCCGGCCAGTGTGACTGACTGGGTCTCCAGAGTCTTGGTGTGAAGGAGGAGGTTTTCCCAAGGAGACAGAGACAGATTGGTTTTCCAAATGTCATTTTTCTTGAAAGGTTGAACTCGGCCCATCTCACCGGGAAGTAGCAGGTGCCCGGCCTCTCTTGTTTAGCAAGTTAAAAACGGGGAAATCATTTTTGTCTTCTTGGCCTCTGCTGGAAGTCCTCCGGAAACCAGGGTCACTGTGTTGGGTTTGTCTTTTATGAGAGGACACAGTGACCTTGGCTGACGTGGTGAACGACACTGCCTTGCCAGGGCTGCTCCCGTGGTCTGGGCACCCTGCCCACCAGGGTTTCCTTGATCACTTACTCAGCCCCCCACCCCTCCCAGGTAGAGCAAGGTGAAGAGAGGGGCATGAGAAAGGCCAGGCCACTCAGCTGGTGGGGGGCAGCCCCAGGGTGCGGACAGAGCGTTGGAGTATGTGGGCTTGACCTCAGACGGCCGTCACCCCTAGGGGGTGTCTGGTGTGTCCGATGGGACACGGCCCTGCTGTGGAAGGGTGTTGTCCTCCTCTTAACCAAGGAAGAACCCAGGATTCAGGCCCTTAGGTCACTTTCAGGTGTTCTTGCAGCTGGGAAGGGTCGGTGGAGGACTTGTCTGGGCGCAGTGTCCTTCCCATCTGTCCCTGCTGCGGCTCTCACCTAGTGCGTCTGCCTAGCCCTCTTCTTGGACCCCGCTTCTCTCTGCAGCAGCGTGAGCCCTGGCTGCAGAGCTGGAGGTTTTTCTTGTGTTTCACTCCAAGCAAACTCAGCAAAGCAAGCGGTGTTCCCTGGAGGGCTGGACAGGTGTGGGGAGAGTAACCTCGTGTGTGTGCAGGTCCAGGCGACCTGGCAAGCTTGGGTAAGAAGGTCAGTGGGCCCCGGCCTCAGGTGGCAGCCTCCCTCTGGAGGGCCCTGGACACTTGTTGGGGTTGGGGCAGGAGCTCTGTGTTCAGCCTCGTGGGCAGTGAAGTGGCCCAGACCTGGGATTCTAAGTGGAAGGTCCCTGGTGCAAGGGAGGCACAGGCCTGCACACAGTCCCTGGGCCGGTGGGGAGGCCTGGCAGTGTCGTCCTGGAGAGTTGGGTTGTCTGGCTCCCGTGGTGTTCTTAAGGTGTCTTCCTAGAGGAGTTGACAGCGAGAGGCGGGACATGAGGTGCTGCTTTCTCAGAGTCAGGAATGGAGGATCCCTGTGAGGGCGACTCAGCCCGGAATCTCGAAAGCCATTTGTCTTTGGTGTGGCGGAGGAATCCAGGCGTGGCCTTCTGTGGAGGCCTGTGGTCCAGGCCACCTGGGTGTGCAGGGCAGCCCCGGCAACCTGCTCCCTCCCGTCCCCCATGCCCTGGCAGGGTCCCTGGTGGTCTCGCTAACCCAGCGTGCTCTCTAACGCCTCTTGTCAGCCCGCTGCACCACTGTCCCGGCCGCACGGAGGCCCGTCGGTAGTTCTGTCTAACCCGTGTGTGCTAGTCCAGCGTCCTTCCCTCGATGTGACTCTGACCGCGGAGACCCCACTCATGATGTTCTGTGTTTCCTCTCAAAAACTGGGTTTCCCTTGAGGAGAATGCAAGTTCTCAGCCCTGGACTTAGCGGTACTTTGTGGACGAGGCAGCTGTCAAGCATGAAAAATTTGTCTGTCTTGTGAACCCAACAAGAGAATGATGATTTTGGTGTTCTCTGTTTCCCAGTGAGAGAGAATTTCTGAATTTACATATAAAGACTACAAAAAAAATCCCACGCTTCTCAGCCAGAGTGCCTGGCCTGGCACAGTGCCTTCAAACCGTGCTTGGGTTCTTAAAGACACTTTTTAAAATCTGGGTTCGGTTCTAAAATTCAATGGTTGTGGGAGACCTCCGAAATCCAGTCCTAGATACTCAGAGCTAGTTGCCCCCAGGCCGCTGCCGAGGGTGTATTTTTCCACAAGCGAAGCCCACGTCTGTCTGCCCTCCTCCCGCCCTGTTTTCCTCTATAACGTGGTGTTCTGTGTGTGGCAGGTGGCAGGTTCAAGAAAGAGATTGTCGTTGATGGACAAAGCTATCTGCTGCTGATTAGAGATGAAGGGGGCCCCCCAGAGGCACAGGTGAGTAGTGCATGCGCTCCAAAACCAGTTCTGCCTTCTGCTTTCTACGGTTCTGATTTGACAGGCTGTTCTAGAAATGAGTCATGCCCTTCCAAAAGAGAGACATCGAAACCCACAAAAGTCAGTCTGTGGGCCCATTTTTTTCACTTTCTGCATTTTTAGGAAGGAAGGAGAAGCAAAATCTGCACTGATTTGTCAATTCGGTTGAAATAGCAGCTGGAAGTTCCTGTGGTTTATTTGTTTCTTTTTTTCCTGTTAACCTGTTTGATCTCCAGGGCACTGAGGTCGTGGTAGGAAGTCATTTGGGTAGACTTGGAGCCAGTCTTCTTTCTGCTGCTGGTAAACCTCAGGAGTTGGGGTCTCCGGATCTTGGCCCACACAAGTCTCCCCTAAAAACTGGTCTGCAGCATATTGTGATTTTTTTTTTTTTAATTCCTAGAAAGATGGGAATCCTGGGAGCAAAGTGGCAAAAGCATGGAAAGCTTCTTTCTTGGGTTTCCTTGTCCACGTGTTGTTCTGCCCACCTTGTAATTTTGCTAGTAAATGCTGGAAAGGAGGCAAGAGCTAGTAATAGCCAGTGACCACGGATGCCCCCTTCGGACATCTTGAACTTACCTCCTTGAGAAGCTGAACATAGAGTTATAAGGATGGTTAAAGTGAGAGATGTTGGACATGGGGGTTGTTGAAGGTCTAGGACCTCACTCAAGGCACACTGTGAGGATGCTGAGGAAATGTCACGGTTACCCTGTCCCATCAGCCCTGGACACCAGTGGTTGTGGGGTGCATCCATGTTGAAAGAGAGTGCTGCCAGTTAAACTATGAAACTGCAATAATAAGGCACAATTGGACCACAGAGGTTAAAAATGAAAAGTTTGCCACCTTAGCATGAGTGAGGGCTCCGTGACAGTAAGGGAACATCTTGAACACGTGTTGAAGGGGCAGGAGGCTGGTCGCAGCCAGGTTGAGTGCCTATTTAGGGATCATCAGTGGCTGGCCCGTGTGGCTGCGGCCAGGGCCATCCTGAAGGTTTGGGAGGTCAGCTTACATACTGGGGATGCCTTTTCCCTAAGAAGCTCCTGAGGGGCTGGGGGTGTAGCTCAGGCTGGAGTGTGTGCTTGGCACTCCCAAGGTCCTGGGTTCAATCCCCACACCAAAGTCCAAACTAAAAATCAAAGCCTTTTTTTCCTGTGCTTTTATTCTGAAGTCCACGCCTATTGCTTCCATATCCCCCGACCCCCTGCAAGCCGGAGAAATCCCAGCATTTTGTCTCAAGTGGAATTTTTCCTGAGGGTCTTTGCTCTAACCTCCTTGGAAAACGCATCTTTTATGTAGTTTGGAATGCCTAGAATATGCAGCGCCATCTGTTGTAACAGTAGTCTCCTTCCTCAGTCACACAGTCAGATGAGGAATTGCTTTAAGGGAAGCGTGGAGACGATGGCACAGCCGCTGCCTTCTCTGTTTCCTCTTGTGCCTCTGCAGGCTCACTGTCACCTTGTCACCTGGGGTGCCTGCACTCCTCACGGTGGTATCCTGGAATCACTGAGGCCAGCTGGGGGCGCAGCACTTTTGAGATCTCGCCCCCAGGCTGGGGGCCAGGATGTGGGGTTGAGGTGTGTACCCAGGGCTTCCTGCAGCCCCACCAGGCTGGGGTAGGGCTAGGACCCCCGGGAGGTCTCCTTGGCCTCCGACTAGGAAGGGGTTGAAGTTTCCCTGAGAACAAGACGCTTTCTCCAGGATTAAGTAAAGATCTCCTTTAGGGGAGTATCAAGATAGGACCGGATTTCGGATTTCCTCCTTGTTCTGGGTCACTTCCTGTTGTCTGTCTGACAATAATGGCCTCTTGAAGGAAGTTGTAGGGCTTCTTGTGGCTTCTGTAATCTTATGGTAGTGCAGAAACTCGGCCAGTAAATGGGTATTTTTTTCTTTTAAAGTGGCAATTTCTAATGGGGAAGCTGTTGGAGTGGGTGGGTATTTGCCTAGTACCGGGGCAGCCAGAGTGTTCGCTCTGGAGAGCAGGGACCTTGTGATTCACGGGTCTCAGCCTCCCGTTCAGGGCAGCGAGCCCTCCTCCCGTGCTGGTGCCCAGGGGAGACCGCCACTCCAGGTGAGAGAAGGGGAATCCGCCCTTCCTCTCAGGCCTGCCCACAGCGCTCTGCTCCACGTTCCTATTTAATTTTATATGTTTCATTAGACCCTTGGGTTTCTAAAAGTTTTGTCATGGGAACCCTTCACATGTAACTGAGAAGTTTTTTAGTTTAAGTGGAGTCGGAGTTTAACCCACAGGAAGTTTGCCCACCTGTGTCAGAAGTCACGGAACCTTCCTGAGGGACTGTTGTTTCTTTCCGGGAGGACGAGCAGGATGCTGTAGGTTTGTTTCATTTTCCCTCGGAAGGAAAGAGGAGGGACTTTGGTGCCAGACAGGTGGGATCTCCAAGCCGCTGGGCCATTAGTGGTGCGAGGGGGTAGCTGTGGGCACCCCCCGGCACACAGCCTCCCGAGGGGGTTGGTACCAGTAGAAGGCAGTGGGGGCTGGCAGTGTGTTGTCTCCCAGAAAGAGCATGTGTGTGGGGCCAGCTGGATGCAGGAAAAACGAGGGTAAAAGGCAGCCGTGAGTCCCTCCCTGGCGATTGCTCGCCGAGGCCTTCTCACAGATGTGTGACGGTTAACTTAGAGGGTGCTGGCCGAGTTGGTCGCAGCAGACCTTCACCACACGAAGGCCCTTCCTGATAGATGGGTGGCTGGTGTGGGCAGTGGGGCGCTGGGGGATTCCTGGGCATGCTGTGGGCTGGAAGAGGCGCTCCCTCTCAGCACGGCAGCCTATCCAGGTGCCCTGGAGGGACTGAAGAGGAGAGTCAGTGCAGGACACAGCCTGGGGCCACCCTCGGTGCCCATCTCCAGGCCCGGGAGGCCAGGCAGGTGGTCTAGTCATCTAAGCGCAGGGCTGTATCTGCTGGGCCGGGCAGAGGGTGGGCATCCAGGCCTCGGAATCCACGGGGCGGTGGTGCAGTTGTGTCCCACGTGGGGTCTGGTGGGAAGAGGACCAGGGTCCCACTTCTGGGGAAGCAGGGAGGCTCTGCACTTAGAAGGACGAAGAGGTGCCTAATGATGAAGTCACCACAGGCATCCGGACGTCCTGCGGTTCCAGGCCTGCCTCTGGGCTCTGGACGGCCCAGCGCTGCGCGCCCTCTCCCCTCACGAGCCCCCCCAGCTCCTGCTCTCACCCGCTCTCTCCGCAGTTCGCTATGTGGGTGGACGCTGTCATATTTGTCTTCAGCCTGGAGGACGAGATCAGTTTCCAGACCGTGTACCACTACTACAGCCGGATGGCCAACTACCGCAACACCAGCGAGGTGCCGCTTGTGCTGGTGGGGACCCAGGGTGAGTGCCCCGCACGGCTAGCCGAGGTTCCCTGCCTTGCACCTGCCATGTGGTGTGCAGGGCTCCGAAAGTGGGCTGAGGCAGAAAGGGCGCTGGGACTGAGTGCACGCAGGTCCCCTGATGTGCACCTGTCACTCCTGATGTGATTCTGTGGAGACGCTCGTCAGCAGGCTCAGAGGAACAACACACAGACAACACACATCCCAGATGTACACACAGCACATATACATGTACAACACAGATACACAGCATACCCACAGTATAGACACACACGCAACACGCCTATGCACACACACATGACATACAGTGCACACAGACTATGTAGATATATATAGCGTGCAACACAGATGTACCCAAAATACACAATACAGCCACACAGTCGACACACAACCCATCCATACAGGTACATAAACAGCACATACAACACCGATGGGGACCCAGGGTGTGTGCCCCGCATGGGCCTACAACACACACAAAGCATACGACGTTCACGCAGCACAAATATACGTACAACACACGCTAGACATAACAGATATACCTGTAACCCAGAGAAGCACGCGTCACATGCAGAGAACAGACATACTACACAGAACATGGATCTGTACTACACACAACATAGATAGGCAACACACTCATCACATACACACATCCTGAGTGCTTTAGAAAACATCCGTTTTATCTTGCCTTCTATATTATATTTTAATTCCTTGTTGTATAAATTAATTTATAAGCAGACCCTAACTTATAAAACAAGCCTGTTTTGGCTCTCAGCGCACCTTTAAAGTGATACTTGACTTCTGACACCTGGCTACCAGTGTCCCGTGGTGTGCGTCTTGTTTTTGACACCTTGTGGTCCTGCAGTGTGGGGCCACTGGGGGCCTGCTGCTTATGTCCTTAGTCTCTTGGAGAAGGGGCCGTTGCATGGACTCACACATGGCGCCCTTGCTCCTGATCACAGATGCTGTGTTGCTCTGGGGTCTGAGTGAGGCGGCCCATCGGATGAAGCTCACTCTAAAGGGCTTTGTCAGACACACAGGGGATTTTAAAAGTGCTCACGCCAAGTGGCTCGAGTCCCCTTCCTTTGTGGTGTGTGGCCTGCTGTTGGCAGTGCCTTTGGGACCAGCGGGTACATGTGCCTTCACACACTGATGTCGGGCTCCAGTTGGGCAGCACCAGTGTGACCGTTGAGGAACATGCTGTGTGCTTCCCTGGGTGAGCTGTGAGCGAGCTCAGCAGTGCCCCGACCCACGTCTTCTCGCCAGGTCACGGTGAAGGGCATGTGAGTGGCTGGAGTGGCGTGCCCTAAGCCCAGGGCACTTCTCAGGGTGCTGGTGAGAAAGGTCAGAGTTGGCACTTGTAATGGCCAGAGGGCTCATTAGTGAAACCTTCAGAGCCAGAGGCGGTTTGGGCCTAAAACCAGATGGAAGAGCTTCTTCATGCCTGCAGCACCCTCTAGTGGTCCCTGGGAGACAAGGACTCGCCTGGAAGAAGCCCTGGGTTCTGTTTTTATTGGTGCGTGTTGATGACGACATAGTGGGCGTCACTGTGGCATAGCCGCACATGCATCTAGCAGAGTTGGGTCACTCTTACTGCCCAGCACCTTCCCTGTCCCCAGGCCCCCTCCCGCTTGGCCCCTTCCTGTGTCCCAGGGGTCTCCCTCTGCTGTCTCGGCCTCTCCCCCTGTGCCTTCCGCAGCTCTGGTTCCAAATTCACGACTCAACCAACTGTGGATTGAGATTATTTTTCTTGAAATGTCATCTGTCCTGGACACGTGCAGACTTACCTTGTCACTGTGCTCTAAACCCCTCAGTGTAGCAGCTGTTTCTGTGGCACTCACGAGTTCTTTGGGCACCGCGAGTTTCCCAGGGACGACCAGAGGCATGCGGGAGGGTGCCTGGGCTCTGCACAGGTGCTGCGCTGTGTCAGTGAAGGCCCAGGGCACCGGTGAGTGTTGGTGTCCTGGGAGGTCCTGGGACCTACCCAGGTGGCCGCTGAGGGATGACAGCGTGCAGTGCTGGCCTATCCGAGGTCCTGGCCTGGGTGAAGTGCTCATCTCAAGGAGGCTCTGCGTAAAGCTACCTTGCAGGGGAGGAGATGAGCTGCTCCCGAGGCTCGCCACGGTGTGTCTGAGCAGTCACTGGAGGCCACTCAGTTTGGGGAGGCTTGGGTTTAGGACTCAGCTGCCTCCTGGCTGCAGGCTTGAGGCACGTAGGTTCCCAGGCTGGGCTGGAAGGCTCGGAGTTGGGGCGTGTGTCCTTTGCACACAAACCAGTGTTTCTGCTGGTGGAGTGAAATAGAGTGAAGTGAGACACAGGTTTTGGGGACACATACCCTTCGGCATGATCTGCCGTGACCTGGTGGCCTGAAACATAGCTTGTCAGGGCTCTGGCAGGGTAGGCAGGAATTCATGGAGGGCACTCGGTGTGCCAGTGGGCACATGATGAGTGTCTGACAGTGGCTGCTGCTGTTCCTTGTATTTCAGCGTACGGCTGGCTTAGTGGGGCCCTGCTTGGGCTGGCAGAAGCTCATCCCTCTCTGCCCCTGTGCCTGGGGATAAGTCTGTTCCTCTGAGCTGCCTTCCCTAGCTGAGAAGGGATCATCTGCGCCTCCCCCAGGTCATCTGGGTCCGTGGAGGTGGCTGAGGACAGCCACCAGAGACTGAAGCAGCTCTCATGAAGCAGAAGTCGTGGGCTTGAAGCCACAGGTGGGCACCGAGCTGAGGAGCCTTGTCAAGGGTGACCCTCTGGAGGGGAGCTTGGGCACTCAAGAGGCTCCTGTCTCACTGTAGCTCTGTTCTCCTTAGCCCAGCCACACCCCAGATGTACAGAAAAGTTAGGGCGTGGCTCACCTAAGGCCCTCTGCTTCTTCACCCACCTCACCAACGGCCAGCACCTGGGGCCTGGGTGAAGAAGGCTGGGGCGAGCATGGGCTCCCAAGGCTGCTGTGCACCCCAGTCTCTGAAGCCTGTGCATTCACAGTGCTGTGCAAGAGACCAAACAGGAAAGGTGGTGCACGAGGGCCTGAAGCTTCTGCCCTGCAGGTTGGGGTAGGTGGCTTCAGAGGTGGGGATTTGGGCCGGGGAAGGAACCCAGGAAGACCTCTGCTCATTGGCCCAGGCTGCAAGGTCTGGGAGGTCCAGGGGGACGGGCACTGGGCATGGGAGGTGAGGAACTGTGTGTGCACGGGGCCGTGGCTGAGCCAGGGCTGCCGGATGCTTGTTAAGCAGAACGTGTTTTAAAGGCTTGCTGATTAGATGGACAGGAGGAGGGAGCCAGGTCTGCGCAAAGCTGCAGGGTCAAAGTGGAATGAGAAACGAGCCTAGGATGAGACCCAGCCGTGGAGTGTGGTCGAGAGGTCACAGGTGGGCTTGGTGCACCTGTTCGGGCAGGTGACAGGGAGGTGGAGCCGGTCCTTCACCCAGGACTAGGGGCCGTGGAATGCTGGGTCCCAGCATGGGATCCTGGATGGGTGCTCTGAGACCTCACCTCAACTTGCAGTTTCTAACTTTCCCCCCATTTTCCTTACACATGGTGCAATGCAAGTCAGATTTTCTAATCTATAAGACAAGAAGATAGGCGGCGGTGTCCTGTGACTCCACGCCCAACACCTGGGGAATGTCATGGAGCCGCTCTGATGAGCCTCGTCCTGACTCAGGCTCTGGTGTTTCCCTACCAAGGTCAGATCAAACTTATTCCACAGGACTAAAGAGTAAAATAGGGACAAAGGAGGGGGGGGGAATGGATGACCTGCTTCCTCTCCGTGTCTTGTTCTTACACTTGAAGTGCACTTTCCACACCAAGCATCAGGACTCCAGCTTTGGTAGGGCTTGTGCTGAGGTTGCTGTGCTGCTTGACAACCCCCTGGTGGCTTCGCTCAGAGAGTGCTCAGTTGCTTTCCTTAGCATAAGAGCATGCAAACCCCGAAAAAGCGCAGGTTACCTAACTGTCTCTGAAACAGAGCAGTCACCTCTACGCGCACTCAGTGGCCCCGAGCATGCGGACCCTGCTGGGTGCCAGGCCTGATGTGATGGCAGGGCTGAAGAAAACAGGTGTTTCGGGGGGGTGGGGGGCGCTGGAGCCGATGCCACAGGTACCCTCCAACTCTGTGACCCGAGTGGCTCACACCACCTTACATTGCTCCCCACTTCCGAGCCAGACCTCAAGGCAGCCCGCAGGCCCTGCTGCCCCCCTCCGCCCCCACCCCGCACCTCCCTGGGCGTGTGGGTGCTCTCCCTCCACGGGTGTCGGGCCACCCCCCTCTGCCAGGTGTGCCTTCCTAGTGGCTTCATTAGAATCGCAGGGCTGGGCTGGGTTGTGGCTCGGTGGCAGAGCACTTGCCCAGCTTGATTTTCAGCACCACAGATAAATAAAACAAAGTTCCTCAGCAACTAAAAAGAATTCAACCAACCAGCCCACCCCAGGGGCTCCTGAACTGCCTCAGGTGGCCCCCACAGCGGCCGTTACACCCCTAGTCGTCCCTGCTTCTGGCCATCTAGAATGTCGCTGCAGGAACACACAGTCTCCATGGTAGAGCAGGTCCAGGCACCTAGCGGGGGCCAGTGGACACTGACCCAGTGGGAGAGTGGTCGAAGGGCCAACCCCAGAGCAGGAGCATTGTCCGTGGACGCTGTCACATGGAAGGTGACGTGGCCTCTGGGTCCTCGTTCGTCCTTCTTGCGCCTGCCTCCTGCCGTTCTGGACCGCGATTCTGTTCCCACGTAGCAGCTCTCCTGTGGCACCAGCTCCTAGCCAGGGCGACGGACGCGCTGGGGTTCGAGCTGATACTTTGGGGTAAACTGTTTTCAAAACGCAGGTTCTTGGTCAGTGTGCTTTGAGCCATGCGGGCACCTGAAGTCACAGACCCGCCACCATCCGTGTACATTGTCACTGTGCTGTCACTCTCTGGTCTTCTGTTCCAGATGCCATCAGTTCCACGAACCCGCGGGTCATCGATGACGCCAGAGCGCGGAAGCTCTCCAATGACCTCAAGAGGTGCACATACTACGAGACGTGTGCCACCTACGGGCTCAACGTGGAGCGGGTCTTTCAGGACGGTAAGTGCCACCGAGACTCTGGTAGCTCTGCGACCCAGGTGCCACTCCAGAACAGGCTGTGCCCATCAGTGGTGACAGGCCCAGCAAGGGGACAGAGGAGATTGCCCTTCTGTTCCGCTGTCAGTGGTGTGCTCAGGAGCGAGAGGAAGTCGTCTGCCTGAAGACGGCCCCGGGGTGGGTTCTGTGTGGCCTTCTCGCCCTCCTGGGTGGGCGGACCTCTGCTTGCTGGTAGCAGTTCCCGGGCTCCGTCAGCCTGCGATGGGCGATTTCCCAGGTGAGCGCTCATTGTGCCTCCAGGCCTGTCTTTAGGGAAGGGCTTAAATTGGGCTTTCAGAAACCTAAGCTGAGAGAAGAGTCAGGTTTGGGCCACTCAGGGCCTGCCCGAGGTCCAGCACTTAGACCCGTGGATGCCATTGCATTTGATTTTTGATCTCCCACTTGCAGGGGCAGCCACAAGTCAGATGGGAATATCCCAGAGGAGCTTTGGGTTCTCCCAGGGGTCACACTCGTGTCCACAAGGGGGTGCCAGGTGTCAGTAATGAGCTGGAGTGTGACATAGGGTGGTCTCTGGCTCTGGGGTCAGAAGGTCTGGGGAAGGTCTCAGGGAGTTACAGTCTTGGGGAGGGTGCCCTGGGCCGGGGTTCCATTTCTGCTGATGTCTTGGGAATTCAGTGCTGGGCCCCCCACTCCTGGTTTAAACCTACAGAGGTAGAAACATGTCTGTACCCACTGTTCTGGTGTGACAGGATTGTCACAGAGTGGGCCAGCCAGGCCTGGACCCTTGAGGGCCTCCTGGGCTGTGCAGAGGTCATCGGGGCCTGTTGACCCTGTCAGCACTGGCACAGTGTCTGCACTGGTCCTCTGGCCCCAGAGTGGGCTGCCGGGCCCACTCGGCTCTCCAGCTCTGTTGCGGGTGAGCCGAAGGAGTGCCACACTTCCCTGCTCTAGCAAGGCAGGGTCTCAGGTTCGTGCCCCGCCCCCCTTCTGCAGCCAGGCTCCTCTCCAGCTCTGCATTTCACCTCCCTTTTAGCACATTGGTCCCATTGCACCCTTCCTGGCTCACTGTTCCTCATCACCTCTCCCAGTGCCCATTCTGAAGAAGCTGGACTCCCCTGAGAAGGAGCTCAGAGCCCCTGGGGTCCCACTGTCCTCCCCTGCCCACTCTGCAGCCGGCCCTGCCAGGAATGTGTCCTGTGGGCCGCAGCCTTTGTGTGAAGCCCTCACAGCCCAAGTCACTTGGTGTTTGCGGCTCCACGAACCTTAGAGGACTGGGAAGAACCACCAAGGAAGTGCTGGGCTCCCGAGAGGTGTCTCCGACAGGGTTTGGTGACTGTCTGAGCTCATGTGGCGTGTGGAGAGGAAGAGCCCAGAGCTGCGCCTGGCTGGCCACTCTGCGTGGGCTTTCTTGACGCGCAGCCACGCCCATCTGGGGCTCAGCAGGCTTGGTGGGCTGGGCCCTCTCAAGATCAGAGCTGACTTGTGGATCAGTTTATTCTCTTCTGTGATTACTTCTTACGTTTATTTAGTTATAAATGTGAATTTTCCTTTATTTCCTTAAATATGGTAAAGTTAATTCCAGGGAACAGTGAGATTACAGGGCCTCCCCACCAAACACCCTGTCTTGGTCCATTCTGGCTGCTGTAGCAGATGACCATGGACTGAGGTCTGAAACCACAAAGATCCCTCTCAGGTCTGGAAGCTGGACGTCTGAGGTGGAGGTGCGGCTGATCTGGGGCAGGGGAGGGCTCTCTTTCTGGCTTGCAGGTGGCCCTCTAGTGTCCTCACAGAGAGCAGTGAGAGGTGGCAAGCTCACTGCCATCCCCACCTGCACACTCCTCCCACCCACGAGGGCTCCACCCTCAAGCCCTAATCAGCTCCCAGAGGCCCACTGCCGGCCTCCACGCTGGGGCCAGGGTTCTAGTATGACAGTTTTAGGGATGCAGACCTGAAGGCCATAGCACCCCAGAATGCTGGGGCCTGCCTGGCAGTTGCCTGGACAGGAAGCACTTCACTGGCATCTTCAGGTAGGGTGCTGGCCGGGGGTAGAGAGGAGAGTTCCAAAGGCCAGTTGTCAAGACAAAGGATTCCCATCATTCCCAGAGACCCTCGAGTCACGCCGTGCTTGGGGGCCCATGCTGTTTTCTGGCCACATCCCTGGCCCTTTTTTATTTTTTATTCAGGGTTTGACTGAATTGCTGAGGCTGGCCTTGAACTTGCCGTGCTCCTACCTCAGCCTCCCGCGTGGCTGGGATCTCGGGCATGTGCCACAGTGCCTGGCAGCGGTGCTGTTTTATGTATGGGTTGTTCTATTGCATATCCTGGCGTCAGTTGTGTGTAGAACTTAATACTGGGTGAGTACTCTGAAGATTGTGAACACTGGTGAAATCTCAGTTCCGAGCGCTTGCTGCCCATCGCTGTTCCAAGTCATGCTCTGCTGGAACTTTAGCGCTCACCTTCCTCAGCTCATGTCCACGGGGCAGTCTTGCCCTGACCACGGTTGTTGCGCCAGGTCCTGATCCATGTGAAAGGTGCAGTACAGTGGTCATCGGATGGCTTAATGTTCTCCACGGCCAGTCCTAGTGGTCTCCTACAGAAAGCCTTTCCTCCCAGGGTGGAAGAGTTACTCAGGTCAGAAGAGCACTTGGACTGGGTCACCAGGGTGAGAAGTGTTCTGTGTGCCCGTTGCCAGTGCCCGTTTCACACTCACCGGGGGGTCCTTTGACAGGCAGGTGTGCATCCTATGGTGCATGGCACATATCAGAAGGTCCCCATTCTGGAAAGGTCTGTGCTGATCTTGCAACCCTTCACCCCAGCTGGTTATGATCATGCTTGATTGCCGTTCTGGAAAAGCAGTCTTTCGGCAGCCATTCGATTGGATTTGGCCCCTGCCTGCTGATCATTATGCTGATCGAGAGCCCAAGCCGAGAGGGTGCAGGACACTCCTGAGACTATGGGACAAGTTGGGGCCTTGGTTTTCTCTCCTTCCTTTGGTCACAGAGATTGGGATCCTAGCACACAAAGGGTTCTGCTTCACACTCAGTATCCGCAGCTGCTCAGACCTCATTATAGGAGCGTCCAGAACCAAGGTGGCTGCACCAACAAGCCTGTTTGTGCAACCTAATTGCATGTGCTAGAGCATCATTAAGAGCGGCCCGTCGTGTGGGGTTACGACTGGGTGCTGCTGACGCCTCAGTCCTTTGTTCATGCTACTAAGGGACGTGTTACTTAGGCCTGCTGTGATCTTCACAGGACCGCCTGGTTCTCACTGGGATGGTGGCCCATTGTAGTGTTTGTTTTTGTTGCTATTGTTTTGCTCCTTTATTATGGGAAAAGTTAAATTAGAATGTATGTGTGTTACAACCTTATTTCAAAAATAAGATTTTCCTGAGTTCAAAGCAAAAAGCAAGGTGCTGAGCAACTCAGTGAGACCCTGTCTCTAAATAAAAAAACACAAAATAGGGCTGGGGATGTGGTTCAGTGGTCAGTACCCCTGAATTCAATCTCCAGTACCTGCCCCCACAAAAAAAATGCCACCCATGAGTGCGTGTGTGGCCTTTAGTACAGTGAGGGGGGCTAGTGCATCACTAAGCAGCTGTTAGCAGTCCTTTATCATGTCTGATGACTCAGGTTTGAGGGCTTCCCGTGTAGGAGAATAGCTCCTTCATCAGGCCCATTTTGCAGCTGGTAGCTGCCCTGAGGCATCGGCTTCCCCCAGGCACACAGTGTGGCTTCCCCCAGGCACACAGTGTGGCTTCCCCCAGGCACACAGTGTGGCCTGTAATGGGAGTCAGCATTTGGGGCTTTGCCTGCGCCCTTCACTGTCCACCCATGTCCATCACTGGCCATGCTCTCTCTGTCCAGCACTCACTGCGCGCTCTGCATGGAAAGTTGTGTCTCTGAGACTTCCCAGGACAAGTGGGTGGGTGCTTTTTTTTAGGACCCAGTGAACCGGGGTCGCCTGGGTCACACCTTGTCAGAGGGCTTTCTAAAAATGAAGGTGACCTGAAGAAAGGCACTCCTCCGTGTGAGGCTCAGTAGTGCGTGGGTGGTGACGTCGAGTTGGGAAGGAAAAGGGTACATTCCGGTCCCTAACGTTGAGATGGCGCTCGTCCTGCTTTGAGGGCCGCCCTGCTGTGGTCATCCACGGGCTGCCACCACTGGTGTCCCGTCAGGGCCGGTAGCTCCTCACAGGGTGGAGCCCAGTGGGAGTTGGAACCTGCGAGACGCCACGCCTGCCACCGGCTCCCCATCTCCCCCGAGTTGCGGGGGCCTTGCCTGGTGTTGGGCAGGGCCTGTGGCCTCTGTGCCGTCACCCTCCTGTCCGTCGGGGTGCCTGCGTGTGTAGAGTGACCGCTTGCCCATGCTCCTGGTGCGTCCTCAAGCCCGGTTAATTTGAAGGACGTCTCACATAACAGGGTTCAAACAGACTGCAGCGCCGGCGACAGAGCCCCTTTCTGTGTGGAAAGCCACGTGTTAAGAAGGTTTTCATGTAGTAATTTTTGAGGAAAGTTTGGGCTCAGAATTCCTCCCTGCCCCTCACACAAGGTAGGCCAGCTCTGCCTCTGAGCCGCCATCCCAGCCCGAGGCCAGGCTTCCAAGGAGGAATTCTTTCCTCCTCAGCAGTTGATCTGCCTGAAACCCCGCCCAGGGTCTGGGTGGTCCTCACCAGCAGGGAGACCCAGACCCACCCGCGGCAGCTGCTGCCCTCAGGGTGTCGGGAAGGGGTTGACTCTGCTGTTGTTGGTCTTCACGTACCTCAGGTGCCCAGGGGTCAAGACTGGGGACGGGGTGCGCCCTGGAGGGTCTTGAGGTCAGTGGAGAGGATGCTTCGCCCTCGAGCCCATCCTGGCCACCAGGTCAACCCCGGCCCCCGGCCTCACACCAGGTGGGGCCTCGCCACTGGCCCACAGCAGTGAGGTCCGGGGACTGGAGCCTGCAAAGCTGTGAGCCAAATGCACCTTTTCTCTTTATCAGTTGATGGTGAGGCATTTGTTCCAGTG